TTCCAACAAAGCCGCTACCTGGAGTTGTTGTTATGACTGTGGCCTTTGCTGAAGTTGGCCATTTTTAAGGCCTTAGGAGTTACAAGCCTATCCACTGCAGTTAACTGCAGTTAAGGTAATTTTTCCTCTGAAAGGCTGTAATCATCAAATGGATAGAGGAGTGCCCCAGAAGCCTGTTTCAGCTGTAACAATTTTGCTGCAATTAATACCGAAAGGATGCTATTCAATGCTTCTCAATCTTGTGATTTGCATTGGTGATTTCTGACATTGGTGTTTTGATGTATTTCACTCCTCCCCTTCATCCATCTTCTCCATGTGCTTGTTGCTTCCTCCCTCCTCTTGTTCGCTTGCTCGCTTGTTCCATTCTGTACTGCCCTGCGCTCCCTTCTTTCCCCCCTCGTCCTCTCGTCTTCTTAAATAGGTGGTTCTCGATCCGCATTGCTACAACTATAGTGCGTTAAGAAGTGGACTGAAGGTTATGGAAAGGGTGATCACATGTCCACAGCTAGCTCATTTTGGTTCCATGGGGTTCCTTCTCTTTCTTTGTAAATCCAGATAGTTGCGAGGAGGTGAGGTCAAAACCAGCACAGCAAAGTCTTAGGGTTGTAGCTTTTGGCCAAGGTGGAGTTCTAGGGTCAAAGCTAGGTCCTGGAGCCTGTTTCTAGGGTCTACAGTCAGGCCCTGCCGCTCAGCAGCCCAAGAGTCGACAACTCTCCAGAAGTCAACCAGGGCCACAGATTGCACACATGGCCAAAAAAGACACAGAAAAATGGAGGAAAAAGAAACAAACGTAAAAATGAGGAGCAAACAACAAACAAAGGCCCTTGTATCTGCACCTGTTGGAGCTGTGATGCGTGCAAAATGCTAGATCAGTCCAAATAGGTTGAGTAGGAGTGTAGTATAGGCGGACACATCATGGTAGGGCTACTATGTTGTTGTTGTATTGATTGTTGGAGGCGTGAGGAGCAAGAGGCTTCAGTGTTCCTTGTGTTCTTGATTTGGTGTACAATTCGGCTTTGTAATTCTTCTTTCAACTTCGCTTATTTGTGATTGATCTCCTTCGAGCTTTTGCGTCTCGAAAATTTTGTGTTCTCATTGGCTGGTTCCTTGCAAAGGACTTTCTGGTACAGTTATACATAGTTGGCCACTGTTGAGTTGATCAGAACAGATGGTACATCTTGTCTGAGCCAGATTGGTCACTGTTATACTCTGTGGCTCAAACTGGTGATTCTAGCCTGTTGTTAAAGTTGTGCATCCTACGTGGGTTTCTCGCTGCAGCGTGCACGATACCTGGAAGACGATACAGAGCTGGGGATTGCGCATGAGGTAGCAGCAGCCGCAGGAGACACTGAGGTGAGTCCTCGCCGAAGTCTCTGCTAAGCTTTCAAATCAATTGAAGCAGCCCAACCCCCGCTGCAACGACAATGCTAAAGAAGTCATCTTCTGTGTGCTGCATTCAGCTGTATGGGTTCCATTTTTGTTCTCTGTGTGCATCTCTTCTGGTGCTATCGTCTGACCTTCTTTGTATTTTTATTTGTTTTGTGTGTGTACCTTTGTGCGTACGCATGTGTGTGTGTGTGTGTGTGTGTGTGTGTGTGTGTGTGTGTGTGTGTGTGTGTGCTTTCTTCCATTCTTCCCCCAACTCTCCACCATACTCCCCCACCTCTTGGCGATGTCCCCCCATGTTTCCATCATTCTCCCCCCTACCTTCCACCATTCTCTCCCCCTTCTCCACCATCCTCCCTGCACCTTTCCGCCACCCTCTTCCCACCTTTTTGCTATCCTCCAGGCACCAACCGCCCAGGCACTCCACCCCCTCTTCCTTTCCCTTGTCCCCCGATCCTTTGGAACGTTGCTTTGCCAAAAACTTGAGTAAAGACTGTGGATTATGCACTCTCATCAAGCCGCAGAACAACTCTGCCATCACACACAAAGAAAAAGGCCAGGACCGGGCAGGACAAATTGCAATATAGTCTAAAAGGCAATTATGAAGACTCTAGTAGAGTCTAAACTTCAAGGGCCATTCTCACACTTGCCATATGTATGCATAGTAGCAGTTACATCAGTTTCCATGGCTTAGGTTAACTTTTATTCATAATAGAGGGTCCGCCAAGGGAATATAGGCACCTGTCCTTATTCTCTTCTATTGTTGATTTCTCCAATAATTTTTATATCATTTTTTATGGTTTGGTCCAGTGTTGCGTACCCCGACGGTCGGTGCATCCGACCAGCCGACCAGCCGACCGGTCAGCTGGTCGGCACCTACAGGTCAGGGGTCGTCGGCACCCCGCAAAAAAAAAGAAGAAAAAACTTCAAAAAACTTGATTTTTTTTTTTTTTTTTTTTTTTTTTTTTTTTTTTTTTTTTTTTTTTTTT